TGGATGGAAATAAATCTTTTGACATTGCAGAAGCTTATCGAAACAATTCCACAGTGAATGCGTGCCGTAATCAAAGCTAAAGGCGGTCCAACAAAGTATTGGAGTGAATTACCTTTTTTTTTGGTGGTGACTTTTTTTTGACCAGGCAGTGTATGTTAAAGTAGCCTGTAGACAGCTGGAGATAGACACCTGCACCCCTCGCCATCCTGCTTGGGATAAGCGTGATAGAAAAGGGATGGATGGATGGATTCCTGCTCTGATGAAGGAACACTCTTTTTGCAAGAACAATTGTCGTGGGAAAAAAGTATTCAACTATTCATCCTAGTTAAATAAACGGAGATCGATGGATTTCACTCAGTCGGCACATTTATTCATATCTTTGCAAAGAGAGAACAGTCATCATACAGCCTTCATGGCATAGCATTCTGCTCTGTTCTGCTCTGGGCAGCGTTCGTCCCCCCCTACTTACAACAATGAAAAGCAGTCAGAGTCATAACAAATTACAGACACTTTGGTTAACAGTAACATGTTATGAATAAACCTTGAGAAAGAACCTGATTTGTTATGGGAAGAAGCTATGTCTGGTCTACAAACATCAACCTGCAGAGAATTGTGTGGCCTTGAGAGAGAAACAGACTGAGTTAAAACTTTTATAGTGAGTAAATAGGATAAATTAATATATAATAGAAGAAAGATAAAAAATTTTCCGACAACAACAATGAAAACAGTTTTATCTTATAGATTAGAAAAAAACCCAGGATGATTTATGTGACTAAATAACATTGCACCCCAAATTAATTTGCCTTTAAATGGAATTATTAGGAGAAGCTCGGAAAATAGCTGCTTGGAATGACTTTGACATCCGTTTTAGATTCCTTCCTAGAGGCACAGCCCTGTAGGAGGAGGCCCAGGGGATGGCTCACACATGCAGGATATATGTTCCTTGGTTGGCCCTGGAGGTGGTTGAGAGTCTCTGCAGACTTTGCTGGGTTTTTCCCTGGTTTTGGAAAAGCGAAATCTGACAAGTACAAGAGAGGACAAAAAACATATTTTATTTTTGGAAAAGGAGTGTGAATACTTGAAGCAGGGGGTGTGTTTAAGATTGTAAATCATTTCCTTGCATTGGGCTCTTAATGATTTGAAATATTCTGTTTTGCAGATGAAGGCGATGATGGAGCGAGCAGGGAACAGCCATCTACTGACCCTCCTGTCGTATCCTAAAGCAGGTCACCTGATCGAGCCACCGTACACGCCGCACACACGAGCCAGTCTGTTTAGAGATGTTCGGTCACGTCAGACAAGTAGGTCTTCCTCTGGCCTTTAAAGCTCCTACTGCGACTCTGCTGCCGCTCTGATAACCGCCTGCTGTTTGCAGTGATGGCTCTGTGGGGGGGGCAGACCCTGGAACATTCCCGGGCCCAGGAGGACGCCTGGAGGAAACTCTTGGTGTTTCTGAGGACCAACCTGTATGGAGGCGTAAAGCCTGGAGCTTCATCGCTTTCCAACCTTTAAATAATGGCTGTTGGTTTGGAAGCAGAGGCCAGATCCTCAGTTCTCTGCTAAATAATGGGAATCACAGGAATCGAAGAATGAAGACCTTCACCAAGCAGCACATTGTGACTTAAAACTAAAGCTTAAATGTTTGCTAACTTCCATTCATACCTTTTTAAGTTATCCTGGTAAAGCATAACCTCCTTGGCAGAGTTAAATATGGCTGCTCTAGTGAAAATGTTTTGGATTAATAAAGCATTTGTTGATTATGTGTGAATCTGCTGTGGACCAATGAAGTAACTTTGTGTAATAAACTAACCAAAATAAGTAATTTAAGAAAAAACAGAATAAATCAAGTTTATAAAAAAAAAATCTGTCTGACATCCAGTATTGGTGATTAACAAACATGAAATTCATAATATCTTGTTCATCACATCAGTGGCTTATGGAAACAATTTAGGCTTCAGCCTCAGAGGTCCAATGAGGCACCTGCTGCAAACTCTTTTGTTTCTTAAAGTGTTTTTTAAGTCGGTTGATAAATGCAGTAAAATTGTTTGCTTGTTTCAAGTAAACATTGATAAAAAGATAACAGAAACAGCATGTAAAATGCATTAACCTGAGACATTATATCCAGCACATGCCTGCAAACAGCTGCTATGCGAGCGCCATCTGGTGGAGGAGAAAATTATTAGATATTCAACAGACTTTAAAATGCACGTTGGTCTTTTCTTTATTCAGTTCTTGAGAGTTCTCTCATTACTTTTAACTAAAATACATTAAAATGTTTATGGTGATGTTAGAGAAGCAAACACTGCAGAATTTATAAAATAAAAAAAAAAAAAATCTGATGACTTTTTACTCAACATTTCTTTCATTCAACTGTTTTCTCTTCACTTGATCTATTCCTCCTATCTGGTGGCTGGAATTAAATCCTATATAATAGTATAAGTCTAATATAATTTTAATAGTATGGCAGGACCCTGCCATACCAAACTATCTGGGATGTGATCCTATTTACTGACCCTCTGACTTCATTCAAGCAACATTTTCAGCAGGTTTTGGGGAAATAAATCCCATGCAGGTTAATTCCTTCCTAGTTTGTAGCGCCATCTAGTGGATAAGCACTGCAGCATGTCTGTGGGAGGAGACTAGTTCTAGAGAAAAGTTCCAGCATGGATGTACGAGACGCATTCATGAGCCGAGCAGGAGCAGGGTGAAGCCTCAGA